ACAATAACATCCAAGCACCAAAATATGCAGTTGATTGCATATGCCTTGTGTGTAACGAGTTTTTGCCAAAATAGAGCAGTTTTTGACTCATAACTATCTGCTCTAATGCATTACAATGGAATTCAACACAGGAAATGAAGGGAGGTTGGAGCAATGTTCCCTTGAATACAAAAGGGGCCAAAGTAAACGATTGGGTGATTTTTCTGTCTCAAGAGTTTTGGTGCTACATCGCATACTTGTAAGAATATGACGTCACATTGAAAATAAAAAGACTAATAGAAATTTCCCTTATTTGTCTCTTCTCCTCTTTAAGGAGCTGGAACAGTTCCTTCCTCTGTATAATGTCTGAAAGAGCTTGAGTTAAATATAATTTGTTTGCAGGCAAATGAAAAATTTAAGAGGCAAAAGAAGGAATAATAATGTACCTATTTTTGCATTTGGACCTTGTTCATGACTGAATTGAAATAAAAAGACTAAAGAACATCTAATTCCAATTCGATGACCGAAGAATTGGAGTTTGTAGACCCACAATCAATCCCATGTATGAAATTGAAGAAATGTAGCCCTTTTATTTTTTGTTTTTTTTTTTCCCCCTTTTTCTTTATGCACTTTTTCAGGTATCATTCATCATTAGCTTTATTTTTGGGCAGTTTATTTTGTAGGATTTTTCAGAGCTTACTGGGATCACGACACATAATTTCATTTTCTTTATTTATGGTGTGCAGTTTATGTTGTAAAATCTTTTGAGGGTTTAATTGAATTTGCCTCTGTAGATTTTTTATAAAGTTATTTCCTGGTCAATTTTTTTTGTTAATGGATAAACATGAATTTTTTTTTTCTATTGAGAGTTTGAAGCATACTTGATTCTTAGGAGGCTACGCATTTATGATTTCTTAAGTTGATAAAGATCACCTCATTTCTAAATATAAAAACAACAGAAAATTCTATTTTTAAGAATATGTATTCTACAATAAAAAGACAATAGAATTGTTGAGGAAAAAAAATAAAAAGGCGATAGAAAGCGTCAATTTATGAACATATATTTTAAAAAGAAAAAAGAAAAATCAGTACCTCCTAATGAAAGTCATATATATGTAAGGGTTTATCCTTCAATGTTATATGTGTTGTGGGTCTTTTGTCTTTTATTATCCTAAAATTAAAATATTATTAATTAAATTTAGTAAAAGTGTAAAAATTTAATTAAAATCTATTATAAATTATAAATTCACCTATTTAAATAAGACGCTGTATGAAAATTTTTTGTACACACACTAACAAACAAAGGTTCCGTTTGGTATAGCGGTTTTGGGGTAGCGGTTAGTGGTTTTACCTAAACCGCTAAATATAGGTGTTTGGTAAATTTATATATTTCGAAACCGCTATAACTAAAGTGTTTGGTAAAATTTTTATTTAGCGGTTTGAAACTAGCAGATAGCGGTTAGGGTCCAAATCGTCAGCGGATTGAAAAAGCTAGTTTATGTAGTTTTTTGTACCAAACCGTTAGTGGATTAGAATTTTTTAATTTTATTGACAAATTTATCCATTTTAATTTTTTAATTTGTGGTCACATTTTTTAATTAATAATTATCGAATAAATTTTAGTTTTGTTTTTTTACCTTTAATAACATTAAGTGATTATAATATTTTTTGTATATTAATTTA